GAAATCGTAAAAGAATTCAAACTTTTCCAAAGCTGTTGAACTAGAGTTTTTGTTAGAAAAAAAAACAACAAGCTTTTCTTTTGACTACTTTTCATCAACTTTACTTTTTTGATCTGAACTTTAGAAAACTTATTGCATAGTTAACAACCTTAACAAATAGCACCATTCACCTAAAGACTGGCAAGAGCTTTCTAATAACTCATAATGCCACTGGAAACAATCTGTAGCACAGTTACAGTTACCAGTTGAAGCTTCTTCGGTCATGGTATAAAGTATGCCTTTATTTTTCCATTCTACAACTTTTAGCATTATAATTGCCTCTTAAGAATTAATCCCTAACCATTTAGCTCTTGCAATTGATTTGCTCCTTACTATTAGTTGTTTTCCTTCTTTTCTGTGACATATCTGTACCAATAATATCCGCATTTTATTCGTCACACTTGTGATTTCTGGAATCTTTTCGTTTGTTTTCGATTTTCTGAATTCGTTATTTCTCCATGTATTCAGCCGATGTTTTTCAGCAAACTACTGAAACAATGCTTCGTCCACGACCTAATCAAATATGACTATTTCTTATACGCTTGACGTCTCACAGACCAATCTTAAGAGTTTTGTGAAGCTTCTATGTCGATGGAGAGGCAGCGTTTGGAAGGTGCTTAGCAATTTCCTTGAAAATAGTAAAACCATGTGCAAGAAATCTTTAGGAAAATTTTTTAACACTGCATTGGGAATTTCGGAATTCAAGTGCAGTATAACTGCATACAGATTTATGTTTTAGGCTGTTTGTGGGCAACTTTTGATATGGACGGCAGCTTTTCTAGTAATTAGCTGTGTCTATCGCTATGTGCTCAAACCGGATCAACAAAAGTAAGCTTTGTTTAGTTTTTTTTTCCATGAATGAAAGATAATTTTTCCGAATGAACTGGCCCAAAATAACCATAACCTTTCTATTTTACCTCCTGTAGTGCCACGTCTATTAAACGTCAATCTCATGGAATATTTAAAGCAGCGCTTTAAGCAAAAATTTCTCAAAAAAAGATTTTACATTTTATGAACTCACAAACACAAGCATTTCATCACGTAGAGTGAACTTTATATATGTCTACTACATCTGCGTACATAAGTTTGCTCACAAAAGCTTATAATTTCAGCTCAGAGCGAAAAAATAAGAGATTATTGGATAAATCTTTATTGGAAAATTATTCTTAAAAACTTTTTTTGTAATAAGCTAGCTCCAAACATTGGGGATAAGAAAGTAGTCGAGGAATATCGAAATATCGAAAGCGAATTTGTTGTAACAGTATGTATTTCGTATGAGAGTGAAACATTAAATCAAAAGCCCATATATCTATTTATTTATTTATTCTATATATTTATTCGTTTATCATGCACACAACGTGCACTCACACGGACCAATTTAAAAAACTAAAGTTAAATTGTT